GCCTAAAAAAGAACCTTGTGGAACACCAAACTTTACCTTAGTATGAGTAGAAAAGTCATCATTTACATCTACAAACTGATAACAATCAGTCAAATAAGACCTGAGCCAGGAGAGGGCCGTTCCTTTAACGCCAAAAACATTTTCTAGTCTACCAAGGAGAATAGTATGAATAGTATCTGTTTGAAGAAACAAATAGGTAAGGGATCTATTATACATGTTGATGATTTTGACGAGAAAATTACTGAAATTAGTTTGGCCTCTCAAAGGGAAGTAAAACATTCTAATCGTTGATCATATGTTGTTATATTATTATCTACAGGGTTAGTTATAAACCTGTCTGGTTTTAAATTAGTAGCCTGAATTTTTTGCCTGATATTTTCAATTTTACCACAGAACAAATTCATGGTCATCACTGCTATATAATGATCGTGTGCATGTTTCTATTGTGGTCTTATTTCTAGCTAATTTTGCTACAGTGTTAAATAAGAATCCAGGATTATTTTTGTTATCTTCAATTAGGGTGGAGAGATATATTGATCTAGCAGCACTAAGAGGTTTTCTATAGCTCAGAAGGTTCTCCTTCCATGCTGTTTGAAATACTACCGATTTAGTTTGATGCCATTTACGTTCTAATTTTCGAGTGGTCTGTTTTAAGGTGCTTTGTGATCATTATACAAGGGTGATAGCTTTTTCTATCTAATTAGTTTTCTTTTACAGGGAGCTACTTTATCCAGCGTCTAGTGGAACGCTGATTCTAAGTATTCAGTTGCCTGGTCAAGTTCTTCGGGATCAGACAGTGATCCAATCATAGTTGATATCTCTGGGAGATTACTGATAAAATTTAATCCGAATGTTAGTATTAAATCAAGAGAGTGACCGCCACTATAAGTGGGTCGTAACACGTTCTGATTAACCTCTACTGTATCTAGAATGGACACAACTGCTCAGATGGTCTTCTGGATTATCAAAAGGAATGTTAAAGTCTCCAACAATTAATGCTTTGGCTTAAGAAACAACCAGGCTAGAGATGAAACCTGCAAATTCACAAAGGAATTCAGAATATGGCCCTGGGGGTCTGTAAATAATAATTAGCCGAATTGCCTGGGTAGACTTATTTTTTGTGGCTACGTATGTTATATTGGTATAAAGAACTTGAGACACATTGAATTTATGACTAGGTTTTTGTGTGACACCTTGATTATCATTATAAATAACTGCAACACCTCCTCCTCTGCCAGTTAGATGGGGCTGATGTATATAACTGTATCCAAGGGGACTAGCTTCATTTAATGCATTTGGTTTAACCTACGTTTCTGTTAAACACAGTATATTAAATTCCTGATCATTCATAGTTTCATTAACAATAAGTGCTTTAGACATAAGAGATCTAATATTTAACAGTCCTAGCTTCAGATCAAAGGTGCTGGCTGTACATTCTGTATGATTTAATTTTAGGTTAATTAGATTGCTAAAAAAAAATTTCTGAATATTTCAACATTTTTGTTTAGCTCGGGGAACAGACACAGTCTCAATATGTTGGAACCTAAGTGACGACTCAGTGCAGCTAGCAGATGGTCATTTTAGCCCGCTTGTCTGCTCCTCGACCTTGGCTCTGGATTGTCACTGATTAACTAGGCCTGTTCTGAGACTATGTGCTATGCTGCAAGAAATGAGAGCAGCACTTTCCCGAGTGGGATAGATACTGTACCGCCCTAACAGGCCAGTCTTGCCCCCAAAACTACACCAATTATCTATAAAGCCCACATTGTTTTTGGAGCACCACCTGGACATTCAGCAGTTCAGCGACCATAACCTGCTGTAAGCTACATTGCCACACCGCATTGGGATAGACGTTGGACATCGCCTTCATTAATTTACACACCTTTACAATGTTACTCTTAATAACGTCTGACTGATGAAGGCGTATATCATTAGCTCCTACTTGAATAACTATCTTTGAAAACCTATGCCTGCCTAAGACCCTAAGATTGCCTGCTATGTCTGGCACCCTGGCTCCCGGTATACACCTAACTAGTGCTGCTGGTGCCCCTAAAGACCTATCTAATTTCATGTGCCTTAGGATAGAGTCTCCTATAACCAGAGCTCTTTCAGGTTTCTCAGCGGGTGATTCATTGAGTAGAGCAAACCTGTTAGACACGTGAAGCGGAGAGGAGTGGTGCTCCTGTGGGGGAGCCTTAGCGTTAGCTTTGGCTTTGCGATTATGCCACCAACTCGTCACCAATTCGCCTTGCTGTGAGGGCTCTAATGCTGGATTTGGGGGATTGCTAACTCTGCCTAAGGCATCCAGACTTTCCCCTCTAGAAACTATGCTGCTCTCACTCTCACTAACCCTCTCTAGAGTCTGGATGTGCACCTCTAATGCTGCAGTCTTCTCCTTCAGAGAGCTACACAGGAACACTCACACACCGGTGTGATGTTCAGTGGAGAGTAGGCGCTCCATGTTCTCCTGAAGTCAACAACCATCTCTTTAGTTTTGTCCACATTCAGAGATAGGGTGTTGGCTCTGTACCAGTCCATTAGCCGCTGCACCTCCTCTCTGTATGCTGACTGGTCGTTCTTGCTGATGACACCCACCACGGTCGTGTCATCTGCGAACTTGATTATGTGGTTCGAGCTGTGCATTGCTACACAGTCGTGAGTCAGCAGAGTGAGCAGCAGTGGACCAAGCACACAGCCCTGGGGGGCTCCAGTGCTCAGTGTGGTGGTGTTGGTGATGCTGTTCCCGATCCGGACTGACTGAGGTCTCCCAGTCAGGAAGTCCAGGATCCAGTTGCAGGGGGAGGTGTTCAAGTCCTGCAGCTTTCCAATCAGGTGCTGAGGAATGTTTATGCTGAACTGAATGTTTATGCTGAACTGAAGTCTATGAACAGCATTCAAACGTATGTGTCTTTTTTGTCCAGGTGGGTGAGGTCCAGATGAAGGGTGTGGTGATGGCGTCATCTGTTGAGCAGTTGGGGCGATACGCGAATTGCAGGGGGTCCAGTGAGGGGGGAAGCAGGGTCTTGATGCGCCTCATGACGAGCCTCTCGAAGCACTTCATGATGATGGATGTGAGTGCAACGGGATAGTAGTCATTGAGGCAGGACATCGAAGACTTCTTTGGCATGGGAACAATGGTGGTGGCCTTGAAGCACGTTGGAATGACGGTGCTGCCCAGGGAGGTGTTGAAGATGTCAGTGAAAACATCCGCCAGCTGGCCTGCACATCCTCTGAGCACTCTGCCAGGAATGTTGTCTGGTCCAGCAGCCTTCTGGGGGTTAACTCTGTGTAGAATTTTCCTCACATCAGCTATGGTTAGACACAGCACCTGGTCATTGGAGGAGGAGCAGTCTTCCTCACCATCACGTCATTCTGCACCTCGAACCAAGCATAAAAGTTGTTCAGCGCATCTGGAAGGGAGGCATCACTGTCACAGGCAGGTGGTGATGTCCTGTAGTTGATGATGGCCTGGATTCCATGCCACATCCTCCGCGTGTCGCCGCTGTCTTTGAAGTCGCTGTGGATTCTCTGTGTGTGTGCGCACTTTGCCTCTCTGATGGCCCGGGACAGTTTGGCTCTTGCTGTCCTTAGGGCCGCCTTGTTGCCTGCACTGAAGGCGGAGTCTCGGGTCCTCAGCAGCGCACGCGCCTCTGCGGATCATGTGGTGATGATCTTGGAGACAGTGACAGCATCAATGCACATGCTGATGTAGCTGGTCACTGATGCTGTATATTCCTCCAAGTTGGTGAAGTTGCCGTCGGTTGCAGCATGTGCCAGTCAGTGTGCTCAAAACAGTCCTGAAGAGCAGAGATGGCTCCTGCTGGCCAGGTATTCACCTGCTTCAGAACCAGTTTGGAGCTTCTGATGAGCGGTCTGTATGCTGGGATTACCATAACAGAGATGTGGTCTGAGTAGCCGAGGTGTTGGTGGGGCTCCTGACCAGTACACGCCAGGGATGTTTGTGTAAACAAGATCCAGTGTGTTCACCCCTCTCGTTGCAAAGTCCACATGCTGATGGAATTTAGGGAGCACTGACTTGAGATTTGCATGGTTGAAGTCTCCGGCAACAATAAACAGTCCATCAGGGTGTGAATTCTGCAGCTTGCTAATAGCACCATACAATTCACAGAGTGCCTCCCTAGCATTAGCACTGGGGGGAATGTACACTCCGATTATAAGGACAGTGCTGAATTCCCATGGTAAATGAAATGGTCTGCATCTAACGATCGCAAACTCCACCAGCAATGAGCAGTAACTAGAAACTAGCACCGAATTCTTGCACCATTTCGTGTTGATGTTAGCACACAAGCCACCACCATGAGCCTTACCACACAGAGCTGCATTTCTGTGGGCACAAAAAGAAGCTAGCTGAATGGCGGCGTCCTGAACATGGTTGCTGAGCCATGTCTCTGTGAAAACAAGGACACAGCAGTCTCTAAACTCATGCCGTGTAGTTTGCTGGAGTCGGATGTAGTCCAGTTTATTGTCCAGGGAGCAGACATTGGAGAGCAGGATGGATGGTAGAGCTGGCCGGCTAGGTTTTTTTTTTTTTTTAGCCTGGCATGGACCCCGGTCCTTTTGCCACGCTTCCGCTTCCTTGCACACCCCTGGCCACCAGCATCAGGCAACGCCGAGGGCTGGAGGCCTGGTCCCGCAGCAAGCTGAGATCATATAGCTTCTCCAGCAGATCATCATGCAAATCAGTTGTTGCATGATTTCTGTGTTTTATTAGTGTCTGGCGATGGTAGATATGGACACCGGTTGCTCTGATGTCCATCTTCCGTTAAATACTCAGGCTAAGAACAAAAATAGCACCATTTTGGATCCGGAGCAGCCTCTGCGTGCTATTGTCGCACCGCCATCTTGGATTATCAAAATGCTTTTACAAATCCCAGCTTGCTAGGAAGCTGGGGTCAGAGAGAAGGGTCAGCCATGATATGGCACCCCTGGAGCAAATATAGTTAAAGGCCTTACTCAAGGGCCCAACAGCAGCAGCAGCATGGCAGTGCTGAGGCTTGAACCCATACCCTTCTGATTAGTAACCGAGCACCTTGACCATTCAGCCACCACTGCCCTAGGTGGTGACCTTGGGCTTCAGTTTTGTCATATCTGTGATCGTTCACATATCTGAATGGTGGTGTCAGTGAAGAAATCAACCAATGCATATTTTTTAATCAATCCTGTAGCAGACACTGTAAGCCTTCAGGAGTGGAGACAAGGAGGAGATGAAGAAGGCAAAGACAGAGCTGAGGGAAAAGATCAAAGAGGGTAAGGAGTGTTACAGGAAGAAGCTTGAGAGGGAACTTCAGCAGAAGAACAGTAGGGAGGTGTGGAGTAGCATGAGAGCAATCACCAGCCATGGGAAAAAGACCAACCAGGGGAGGGAAGGAGACCTGGATGATGCCAATGAGTTAAACCTGTACTTTAATAGGTTTGATGTGTTGGCTTCTGCCCACCCTCCCCCCAGCTTCTCCATGGATCCCCCCTTCCCAACTCCTTCTCACCACCATCTACCTCAACACCCCTCCCCTGGCTCCCCTCCCCCAGTACCCTCACCCCACCATCTCCTCAACGACTCTTCTGGCTTCTCACCTCAGCCTGGCCCCCCTCCCCCATCAGGGCTTTCTACAACCCCTGGCAAAAATTATGGAATCACCACACTTAGAGGATGTTCACCCAGCTTTTTTACTTTATAGCAAACAAATAAATCATAGATATGACACAAAAAGGTTTTGTTCAATAGCTTAACATTCTGGCTTTGTGAAACATACATCAAAAAAATTCACTGACTTTTTTTTTTATTAATGGCATGTCTTTTTC